TATTCAACAACTCTTTTTATTGGGTCCTTTTATTGGGTTAAGTAGATTGTCAGAATAAGTGAGAAATGGATTTAACTTCTGTTAGACAGCTATCATACTGAAGAAATATTGACTGAATGTATGCAATATGTATGGCATTCATAATTTATATCTAACGACATTAACTGTGAAAGCCCTTCATTTTATTTCAAATAAAATAAAATAACAAAATATTTTTGTATAGATATTTGAGACGTTTATGACTCGCACATGCACGAGGCAAATCGGGCAGCCGTTTAGACGTCAAATGTCCTATTTGACTTGCCGTATGGAGTTGTCCAATATGGCGGACCATCTCGCACATGCGCAATGCGGATCGGGTAGGGATGCGGATCGGGTAGTGACACATGTGTAACAAACTGTGTCTCCACATATATCAGTGTTTGGTGTACAGTACAGTGACTCCATGCTTGTCTTTCCTTTCTGTTGTGCTCCATCAAGTGGACACTCTGTGCCATAACCCCAGGAAGTGGTGGAAGTGTGTTACTGTAGTGTAGTAAAACAACAAAAACACAATGAACGCAGTGCTGAGGTCTATATGGTATTATCCTGTTAAACTTGCATTAAATACCACAGTACTATTTATGCAACACCATTTCTTGACTATTTTTAAATCTGGCTCAAAAGGCCTTATACAAATGTGAGGAGAATTTTCATGTGTCACTTTGAGCAACACATAAAACAGCAGTTATTGTTGTTTAGATTCTAAAATTAGATAAAATGTAATCCTGCTTACCTTAAAATATACATATAGCCTACTGAGTTTGTATGCACTGAAATAAAAAATAAAATAAAATAAAAGGCTATTTACCATGTTTTCTAAAATCTTGCCAAATGTATAGATTGGTTTTAATCCTTGACCTTTTCTTTTTGTGTTTTTAAGACTTGTTTCCTGTCATCTGAAATAACACTGAACCAGTGGCGAACCGTCAGGGCCTTCAAGGTATTCAGAGAATACCCTGGAACACTCAGATAAAACAAACAAAAAATCGATTTAATTATATAAATAAAATGTATATAAATGTATATAAAATGAATAAATGAGAATCGTATCTGTGTTGTTGATCTGTAATATTACAGTGTTACGTTGATTTGTTTGTCCTTCTCGGACCATGCACTACGCATTTCAGTGGTTTTGTGTTAGAAAAGAAAGCAACCAATCAGATCTTGTTCTGGGTCTCTGGGTAGAATATCCTTCACCAAGGTATTCTACATCCTTGATAGAATGCCCTGGCCGTTACGCTGAATGAGAGCGTACGTTTGGACTGACAGTTTGATCAACCAATCATATGTTGATTTGTAGCCAAGGGGTGTATTCTTTCAGAGTTTCCCTCGGTTCCAGGGTATTCTAGAAGGCCCGCTAGTTAACTGGCTCGAGACAGAGGATCTAGAATGCGACGAAGCAATTCATGCCGTTTTATTGTTTTTAACGTTGAAATGACAAGTGCAACAGGTGAAGATGAAGTTGTTTCGGAATTGTTGTGAGTACCCTTTTAAAGACGACAATTCAGTGAAAAGACGGACATTATAATGCCGCGGCGGGAGGGGGGCGGGGGGTATATGTGTCTACAGAAGGTCCAGTTGTGATAGACACGGTTCGCCACTGCACTGAACACATTACTCACACAAACAACAAAGACCAGTGACCTTGAAATTATTATATATGTTTTTATTTAAAATTGTAGATGTCAAGATTGTTATCTTGGATGAAAGACAACATATTTAATCCGATTCACATTGTGTTCTTGTTGAGTTCAACGAATATAAAATGTGCTGGGAGGGAAATCATTTGAAAAGGCATTTTTTCAAAGTATGAGAAAAGGAGGGTTTCGTGTATGCATGATGAGTTAAAACTGAGAACCAGGGAAGAGGTGTATTCTGGCTTTTTGCCAACCCCCGTTAGTCATGTGACCCTCATCACATATCATCCAGTACACACAACAAACACACATAAGTGTGTGTTGACACAATGCAAACAAATGTAGGACATCATGTTGATTCAGCATTTTATATCACAAAGGGGGAAACTAGTTTTATACAAATATGGCAAAACTACAGGAAGCAAATGGTAGGGCTTAAGTCAAACTGGTATATCTTTAAAAAATGTAATTAAATCAAACCTAATTTTTCCTTATATTAGTTGATGGCATTAATACTTGTATAATGCTAAACTCTGTAGTTAGTTACTTCATTGTAAAGAGTAGTTTTTGTCTTTGTGACTCGTAAAAGTGAATGGTATCTCACTGATATCAGCCCCACTGTGTTCTGCTCTACAGCCGCACAATATCCAATCACTGCTAGTGGAAACAAACATTTCATCCTACAATCTCTTCCCAAAAAAAGCCATCAACTTATATTTTATTTAATGTGAATTAGCCTCAGGAAATGTGTCATGAAATACAACTGATGTGTAAACCAGGCCTTCCTGTTCAGTGTTTAGTGCTCGAGTCCCTGCTTTCTCAGAACAAACATCTAGTTTATTTGACTGTTTTCTTAACTCACAATCACATATTTACAGATGTCTTTGATTCATAAGCCATTTGACCAGTAATCCATATAAAACCTGGCATGTCAATATACAAGTTAACTAGAGATGTCCCGATCCGATCACGTGATCGGGGATCGGAGCCGATCACGTGATTTTTAAAAGATCGGAATCGGGAATCCTTAAAAAAATTATTTTATTTAATGTTACAAAACAAAAATGACCATGTTCACATCTTAAAGTCATCCTGAGTCCTTAGTTTTGGTTTCAAATTACACAACATCATGTATGTGTTGCTTCTTTTGGGCTTGTTTTCAGACCTGGTTGCTTATTTCTCTCAAAGCTGGCAACAGAGTGGGCGCAGTGTCTAATAGTAGCAGCAAGCTAATGAGAGGCTACGTTCAGCTGGTGACTCGGGACAGAGAAAATGTCAGGAGTTTGGAAGTATTATAAAATTGAAAGCGAAGGCAGTGTAACAGCCAGATGCAATGTTTGCAAGAAGGAGGTTCCTCGTGGTGGAAAGAACAGAGCTATGTTCAACACAACCAATCTAATAGATTGTTTGTTTTTTCATTTTCCCCCCCGTTTTTTTTTCAAATTGAATTTATTGAAATCTCCAATATCAACGTAAGAGCTTGTGCCTCTTCGGGGGGTGCTAACACTTAACCATAAACGTTATCGTTTACTTTCTCCGTCTTTATATGTAGATATTACTTTTCTCCGTTAATCTCCGTCACGTTGTTTCCAAAGCAACAACAACTTCCTGTCAACAGCGCTACCTCTCCTTCAAAATAAAAGCATGTCCATAAATAGGAAGCCAAGCCAAATTACACTTAAGACATATACAACTGCAACGAAAGTAACAAACACAATGCGATATCCTTTTCAATTTCAAAGAACACAAATTGGGTTACATTAACAAATAACTATAAAATAACAATACTGTAGAATAACAAAAAGAAGTGGTTTGCTGCTGATTACTATTGAATTGTGTTACTCCAGTAAGATGGAAATATAATACTTTGTTTATTCATGTTATGTTAAGCTGCTGTTGTTCATTGCATTATTACTAGACTAGTTAGTCTTAAGGCTAGAATTCTGCACTAAGCCACATTTTTATTTTATTTTATTATTTGTGACTGAATGTGAACTTGTGAAGCTAGTCAAGCTACCTCTTTCCAGTAGAGTTATTTTTGTTTTGTTACTCCACTATCTGCACTCAATTTGTTTACATTTTGTGGAGGACCACTGATAAGCTTTATTTAGTTTTGATCCAATGCTGCACAACTGAACTGATCCAATGCTGCTGTGAAAAAAAGAAGCTATATCCATGTTGGATAGAATGGATAGTTGGGTACTGTCATTTAAATAAAAAAATAACCTTAAGGGACAACTCGAATGCTTTTTTCCTTTTTTTTCTCTTAATGCATTGCATAAAGATCGGATCGGGAAAAATTGGTATCGGCAGATTGTCAAAATCAAATGATTGGAATCGGATCGGGAGCAAAAAAAGGTGATCGGGACATCCCTAAAGTTAACCGTTATGAGGATTTATCATATTATTTAGCTTCATTTTAGTTTTCTAGCAGTATAACTATTACACATATTAAATGTAGTACACTGTAGAGCAGTGCTTCTCAAACTTTTTTCAGTAATGTACCCCCTTTGAAACATTTTCTCAGCCAAGTACCCCCTGACCGATAAATAATTACAATATAGTGATGTTCCATCAGTGTTTGATTTATTAACTCCTTAATGCATGAATTACAACAAACTAAGGATATTTTCATCTTTATGCATGAAAAAAATGATTTTTCCAAGGAGTTTTTCAATTGAATTAATATATGTTTAACAAACCAATGAACAAAATGATATATTATTAAAAACCATAAATACAATACACAAATGTAACATGTTTATATGAGGACCCCCTTAGTGGTTCTAGGAATATTTTATATCAAATTGTGTTTTCTATTTAACTTATTGTACTAAGATTATTTTTGTAATCATGCATGGTATTTTTTTAATTAACCTTTTTATTTTGTTTACCTCACGTACCCCCTGCAGTACCCAAACGTACCCCTAGGGGTCCGCGTACCCCCATTTGAGAAGCACTGCTATAGAGTCATTAAAAGGCCTTTCTCTTAAATGAAGCTTCATGACACAATTCAAGATAAAACATTTAATGTTATTATTAATTCTAACTAGCTTGACAAATTTGGTATCATTAGAAACAACCTTTTTTTAAAAGTTAAAATAAATCTATAGCTTTTTCCAACGTTCATATAGATATTCTCCACATGTGTTCCGATAAAGTGTTGAAGAGATCATTATTTGATTGTTGAGTAGATTAATGAATCCACTTATGTGTTGTATACAGAATCTAAACAATATGTAAATCATTCACCACATTAAACTTATTTTGTTTGTTTCCTTGAATGAAAACAAATCAACACATGAAATTAGATGAGTGATTAGGTGACTCTGACAGGAGAGATGATCAGAGGTGCAGCGTTTTTACGGCCATATTTATAACCTAGATGGAAGTATGGGAAGAGTTTCTCAGTGAAGGAGCAGCCAGTGAAGGAGTAGATCAGAGCTGGAGCATCTACGTCATAAAAGGAGACCAGACCCTCCTCATAATCCACAAACACCCCCACCTTCTGAGGCCGAGACTTCAGAGAGAGACGGACTGACGGAGCACCTTGAGCTTTGTACTCGTTTACATTGCTCAAACATATAGTCCAGAAACCCCCCTGAGGGCTCAGTGAGATCATTCCCTTCCTGTTGATCGACCCTCTGGCCACTCCTAAATCCCAGTCGGTCTTTCTTTTAACTTGAACCTCAAAGTAAGATCTGCCTGAAGAGAAACTCTGCTTTCCTAAAACACAATTACAATCAGAAAATCTCTCTGGGTTGTCTGGGAGTTTCTTTTGAACATCACCATCACAGACTTGTTTTCCATCATCAGACAGGATGAGACTGGGATATGCTGTATCAGGATCAAGAGTCACATCCACTGCGTACTTCTGGATCCTCTTCACTTTAGCTTCAAGCAGCTTCTTCATCTCTTTACTGAACTTCTCCCCCACCTTAGCCACAGCCTTTACCACCGTCTCCTCATATACCGCTGGGGTCAAACGGAATTTTCTCAAGTCCTTGGAGGGTTGTCGGTGTTGAATGTTTAGGGACTTGAGACTTTGTAGAAAATGCAGGTGGTCTTCAGAGTGTGTGACCTGCTCCACCTCAGAGCTTCTCTTCTTCAGCTCAGAGATTTCCTGTTCCAGCTCTTTGATTAAAGCTTCAGCCTTTTTTTCAGTTGTTTTCTTCTTCGCTTTGATCGTGTTGATGAGATTGGCCTGGCCTCTCTCAACAGACTTCTTCAGAGCAGTGAAGACCTTAACACCTTCTGCTATCTCTCCGTCTGCTTCTTTCTCACTGAGGTCCACTGAGTGTTTGATCTCCTCAATCTTCAGTTGTCTCTTCCAGATCATCTGCTGAGTTTCAGCCTCTGTCTTCCCCAACTCTGCCTTCTTTCTTTCATATCCTTCTTTGAGAGGAACCACATTGTGCATCTTGTGTTCTGAAACATGGCAGAGCATGCAGACACATGTCTGGTCGGTCTTACAGAACAGCTCCAGAGGTTTATCGTGCTTCGGACACATCCTGTCTTCCAGGTTCTCCACAGGGTCGATCAGCTGATGTCTTTTCAGTACTGGCTTTGTCAGATGAGGCTCCAGGTGAGTCTCACAGTAGGAGGTCAGACACACCAGGCAGGACTTCAGGGCCTTCAGTTTGGTTCCAGTGCAGACGTCACAGGGAACTTCTGCTGCTTTGAAGACTTGTTGCCCTGAGCTGCTGCTGCTGCTGCTGCTGCTGGCTTTCTGTTGAGCCGACTGTCTGAACTGAGCGACCATCTCAGAGATGAAAGTGTTAACGTGCAGCTCAGGTCTTGTGTAGAATTGTTTATTACACATGAGACACTGGCACCAGTAACTTGTATCCCAGTGTTCTTCGATGCAGTCTTTACAGAAGTTGTGTCCACATGGTATAGTGACTGGATCAGTGAACAAATCCAGACAGATGGTGCAGAAAAACTGATCTTCAGATGGCAGGTAGCTTGCAGCAGCCATATCTACACACATAATGAGAAAGAAAACAGAAAACATTTGAAACATCAATCATCAATTCATATCATATATTGTTTTAAAGAAAGAAGTTTGATAACTTGTAACAAACCATGAGCAACCGTGACCATTTAACTCTGACAGGGTCAAGCATGCAACTCTGGCTAACAGCAATGAAAATATAGGTTTTCTCGTTTTTTTCTATTGAAAAATAACACTGCTCTTCTTACTTTGTAACCATAATTATTTACTTCCTCTAGCTGCTCCACATTAAAAGACTCCAACTGTTTCTCTAATGGAAAGATTTCATTTTTAAACAGTTAGAGGAAATGGGTAAAAGCAATATGTCAGAAGTAGGGCTGTCAGTCGATTAAAATCGTTAATCGCGATTAATCGCAAATGAATCGCACATTTTTAATCCGTTCTAAATGTACCTTAGAGGGATATTTTTCAAGTTTTTAATACTCTCATCAACATATGAGTGGACAAATATGCTTTATGCAAATGTTTGTTTATTATCATTTGAACAATGACAAATATTCTCATGAATATTAAACACAACAACCTCAGAACATTACAAATATTGTGTGTGTGTGTGTGTGTGTGTGTGTGTGTGTGTGTGTGTGTGTGTGTGTGTGTGTGTGTGTGTGTGTGTGCGCGTGTGTGTGTGCGCAACACGTTCTCACTCCCATCCCGTCACATATTGATGGACGGTCAGGGCCCCTCCTCGTCGCTATATTACGTACAGGGTATCCCTTGACCGTCAGGCTTCTACGGGCAGGGCGTCCCATAGACCTTCATAGACCACGTCATCAACAACAATGGCCGACCTTCGTGTTATTCTCGGTGGAAAATGCCTATTTTAAGGTTCATTTGGCCAATAAAATGCGTTTTGATGTCATTTTATGCGAGTAATGAGTTTTTATTTCTGATTATTTGTGCAGTACATGTACATGATGTTTAGTTTGCTAGTTATGACAAAGATTACTTCATGAATGTGTACACATTCATGGTTGCTAACGTTTTATTGGTTGAAATGTGTTTTTTCACAGCAAAGTCACCCTCTGTACTTGGACTTATTGGGAGAATCTAAAGGCAAGAACATCCCAAATATTCATTTAGGTCTTTATTTTAGACCTTTAGTGTTGCCGTCTGTGAGGAAAATAAATGGGGCTCAGAGCCTCGTATTTTTTTTTCCTTCTAATTTGTTATTCTTTTCAAAATAGCACACTGTTATTTACTCATCAATAACACACAATTATCCTTGCTTTTATTTATTGGTTTAATTCCATAATCTCGGGCTTTTTTGGCGTTCGTCAGGAACTGAATTTCAAAATAAAAATAACCCGGAAACAGACGTAGGCCTATAAGGGACATTTCGAGCATTATTGCGATTATCAACATTTTTGAGTTGTAGGATGGCCGAAGACACTACACTACCCATAATCCCCAGCTATCGTTTAGGACTACAGTCCCTGTGATTAATCTTCAAGGTCTGGGATTGGATGTTGGAGTGACAGTGCGCCAAGGTTACGCCGAGCGTCAAACAGCTGTTTGAAATGGAACGAAACCAGGCCAGACTATCGAAAACTGGAATCGAACGCCCCCCCAGAACTACACAGTACACTATTGTGTTTCGCAAAATGTTCTATGGGACGTCTCTACTGAACGTTTTCGTTTTTCCCACAATTAGAAGTTGCCAGTATTAAACACATTGGTGTTATCAAATGTAAAACATATAATTAATAAATGGGTGAAAATTGCTGTCCATAATGCGCAGCATTAATATATAGCATTAATATATACCCACATGACAGCTCATTGTTACTTTGTAATTCTACTCCACTACAATTCAGAGGTTAATCTGGTATTTTTACTCCACTACACTTATTTGAGTTACTTTGCAGATTCTGATTAATGATGTGAAATATAAACAACCCTTAAATCAGACTTTAGTTACACCTGAGTAAAATTCAGGTAAGGTGATTGTCAAGTGCCAACAATCAGGAGAGATATTTGATAGTTGGTGCTTGAGAAGACTAAACATGTATCTGCAATTGACATGAATGGAAACGAGTAATAAAGTATATTCATTACTCGTTATTCTCTACTAATAGTTAATTAAAGACTGTATATTATGGCTATTTTGCACATCCCTTTCAAGATTTCAAGATTTTCAAAGGTTTATTGACATATCATATACACAACTACGGTGTAGTTATGCAATGAATGAAAAACTTGGCTCACAGGTTCCTCAACAGTGCATTACAAGACATCTATATCAATATGTGTGTCCCTCCACCATTAAACTGTCATATTCTGCACATTTCTTATTCTATCTATCTACATAAGAGTATAATTCATATGTATAATATCAGTTAAAATAAGTGCTTCAACATAGTTAACATTGCAGGAAAGCAATATATTAGACGTTAAGTACTTTGTCAGGCTTAATATTTATCTGTAGATAGATACCCCCAACGTTTTTTTCTTATTTAAAAGAAGACCTTAATCTGTTATTTAATGTTTAAATAAAGGTTAATTCGTTTTTCTGTTTTGCACCTCCTCCTATTAATATCTTTGTACATCCTGCACTAAACTGTTTTATTGTAGAGATCACTTATAGTATCTTCTTGATTTTTTATATTCTATATTTTTATCACAGACCTTCTACTTTCTCCCTCTGAAAGTATGTACTCTTAATATTTATATTAATCAAATATAACACATAAAAACAATAATTCAATAACGTGCTTTAACCACTAGGTGGTGCACACAAGGTACACACAGCCATAATAACTTTGTATTATTAGTGTTGGACACTTGTATGTACAACATCTGAAGATGTGTAGTTTTATTCATGCTTTCACATAATCAGACTCAGTATTTACATTCTTACATTCAAAATTCAATCCAATTCACATCAGTAATATCTTTAAAAACTACAAGTCCTTTTATATCAGCTGTGCACCGTTATGGTGTAAATATAACCTAAATTATAAATTATATAAAATGTAAAAGTCAGCCGAATTAGTGTTGATACTGCAAGGAGACGTATTGTGTGAAGAAAAATTGAAGATGTTGTTTAATTGTTGAAATATTTATGATCCACGTCAAGTATTCAGTTTCGGCGGCATTTCTTCAGTTTTTCCAAAGGTCTTCTCATCAGGGCTCTATAAATAAAGAACTACGGCAGATCTGTAATATTTAATGCAGCCGAACCGTGTATTACAATGCCGTTATGTGATGACTTTCAAAGAGAAAAGCAAGAGCACTCGGAATTAAGTATTATTTTATTCTTTTAAAATGTTTTCCGGATTTCATATAATATAAACTACAAATCCCAGCATGCATTGCGGCTAAAACATCCAATCAGCGTAGCTGAGGATTTTGGGTAATCGCTCGAAATGCCTACGTCTGTTTCCGGTTATTTTTATTTTGAAATTCAGTTCCTGACGAACGCCAAAAAAGCCCGAGATTATGGAATTAAACCAATAAATAAAAGCAAGGATAATTGTGTTTTGTTGGTGAGTAAATAACAGTGTGCTATTTTGAAAAGAATAACAAATTTGAAGGAAAAAAAGATTTAAAAAATACGAGGCTCTGAGCCCCATTTATTTTCCTCACAGACAACACTAAAGGTCTAAAATAAAGACCTAAATGAATATTTGGGATGTTCTTGCCTTTAGATTCTCCCAATAAGTCCAAAAAAACACATTTCCACCAAAAAAACGTTAGCAACCATGAATGTGTACACATTCATGAAGTAATCTTCGTCATAACTAGCAAACTAAACATCATGTACATGTACTGCACAAATAATCAGAAATAAAAACTCATTACTCGCATAAAATGACATCAAAACGCATTTTAATGGCCAAATGAACCTTAAAATAGGCATTTTCCACCGAGAATAACACGAAGGTCGGCCATTGTTGTTGATCACGTGGTCTGGGAGCTGTTGCAGCGTCCATAGCAACCACCTTAGCAACCATGAATGTGTACACATTCATGAAGTAATCTTCGTCATAACTAGCAAACTAAATATCATGTACATGTACTGCACAAATAATCAGAAATAGCAACTCATATTAATTGCATAAAATGACATCAGAACGCATTTTATTGGCCAAATGAACCTTAAAACAGACATTTTCCACCGAGAATAACACGAAGGTCGGCCATTGTTGTTGATCACGTGGTCTATGAAGGTCTATGGGACGCCCTGCCCATAGAAGCCTGACGGTCAAGGGGTCCGCTGTCCGCAATGAAGGTCTATGGGACGCCTTGCCCGTAGAAGCCTGACGGGCAATCATGTTGCGCGCACTATCCGTGCTGAGTGTGAATCAGAATACCTTTATTAGTCCCACAGAGGGGAAATGTGCATCGTTACAGCAGGAAAGAGCCACATACAGCTTAATGTTACCTATGTTAATTAAGTGTGCTGACTTTTCTATAATGTCCCACTGTCTGGCTACCTGCATAAAGTCAAGTGCTCTGCGCACTTGTCGGTGAAATGTCGCTCCTCTGTTTTCATTGAAACTGCTCCTTATATCCGTTAGCGCAGCTAGCTAGCACCAGATGCTAACAACAACAATACACGTAAGGTGTGCGCGTTCTCTCTATCTCGCTCGCGCCACACATACACACACCCTCCCGGTCCTCCCGATGGCCCGCCCTGGCCTGCCGGTGAGCGTGGAAGTGTGGTCTGCCGCAAGCTGACGGCAGGAGCGGGGCTGTCAGCATCAGCTTGTAGATGGTATTTTAAACTCGATGCGCTCTGAAACTACGGGGCGGCCGAGGACAATAAATACACATGCGTTAATCGCGTTAAAATAATTAGTGGCGTGAAAAATTTGTTTGCGTTAACGCGTTAAAAAAATGGACAGCCCTAGTCAGAAGTGATGCAATTACTGAAAAAATTACTAGTGGGAATGCTTTATGCTGAAAAGCTGACGCTAAACTGCTATGCTGAAATGTAATGTGTAAGAAGAAAGTGAAGAATTTA